AATTCAAGCAAGTTAAACTAAAGAACATATATGACCAACAGTATTGAGAATTTCAATGCTGATTACAGCATAAAAAAAATAACAGTCGGACTTACGGGGAGGGTGGGGCGGGGGGTGAGCGGGGAGGTGGGTTGGGTACTGACAGCCCCTCATCACTGATGTCCAGGAAAAGAAACAGGCCATCAACAAGCGAGAACGGTCCTCTCGACACGTATTTTATTAGTTCCGGTTCACTTAGCTCATAACAAAACGAGCGTTTCTACAGTACATTGCTAAATTTACGATGCATATTTTACATGCATGAAGCAAATACTACTTTACTACGGATTTATTATAATAGAGAGTCACATATGAAAAAAGGCAAAAATGGGCCTTCTGCAAACGTTGGGAAAGGCATAACAAGACCTTCGCTGTCTTACTAACATAAAATCCCGTGAACGCACTACACTGGCAAGTACTCCAGATCTTTTTGCATGCACGTAATCCGGCTCTCTCGCATTATTAGTGGTGCTTCTTGCTCTTCTTGTCATGATGTTTCTTGTCCTTGCTCTTTGCTGCCTTGTCTTTGCATGGGTAGGTTCCGCCACAGGACACCGGCTCCACTATCACTTGCTCAGCTGGATACGGCAATGGCATTGGTTGTGGCATGGGCATGGGCATGGGCATGGGCATGGGCATCGGCATTGGCATGGGGGCTGCGGCCCCTCCCTGACAGGGACTCGGAACTTGGCAGGGAGCTCCGCCGGTTGCACCCCCTCCGGCTCCACTTAATGCGCTCAGGCCAGTCAGCATCTCCTGGAGACACATAGATGGATCTTTTTGGGCAGTGCAAGTCTGGAAGGTTGTGCAGGCTTGAGTCTGTGTATGAATAGAAATAGTGCCACTTTTAGCGTAGAGCAGTTTTGAATTGATTGTCGAAAGTAATCAGACAATCACTTTGGTTTTTGTTCTGGTTTTACTACATATATACAGTTTGAGATTGGCTGAATAGTCTAATTGGTAAGTAATTGGTTTGGTTTTGGTTTCACGACACCCAACTGAAAACCGCTCTATTAGCATCTTTGGTATTGTTGTCTGTTGTCTACTAAACTACCTCAACTGCTGGTCACATTCGGTGAGACTATGATGGGTTGCGTAATTTTGTCAGAGGACTAAACGCTAATGCCTTCTGTTACTGAGAGCAACCGAGAAGAGTTTTTTTTTCTATTTTGGGGAGCGAAAGATCACGTTCTCTGTTGCTTTCCTGCATGTGTTCAACCTGACTTTGCTTGCTGAGACCTTTGTTGTTAGGACTGAAAAAGGATGATCCTTTGCTAGCACCGTTGCCCAGACCGTTGCCAGGACTAAAAAAGATTTCCTCTGTTGATGTCCCGTACTGTTGAGGTCATACGGCTCGTGTGAGCATTTTTCAATTAAGTGTTGTAAAACCAAAGTAATTACTTTGGCCAGTCATCACAAATTACACAGACAATCCAGTCAGAACAGTGAACCAATCAAAACGTAAAGCAAATACATGAAGCTGACGTAAAGTGCGGGAAAACGCGTGCGTGCGAGTCACAATTGGTGTGTTTTTACTTCTGATTGGATGAAAAAGTCGCACGAGTTTTTTTAAGCTAATCGCTTACCGTGGTAGTGCAAAACCAAAGCAAGTAGGAACTGTTTTTGATTACTCAGTGAAAGCCGCTATAATCCCTGGATAGCTCTTTTACTGGTTATATCGTAATAATATATATCCTAGTTGCTGATGCTGTAAATTTTTTCATTTGCATGCAGAAACAAGGGACATAAGATTTCAATCTCAGTTTTTCACGTTAAGAATTGGTGTTGATGGTATATGATGACAAATCACCCGGCTAGTTGAGAATAATGAAACAGAATGAAATATATATCACATGCCTGGATGAAAAGTGAAGAATAATTTAAAAATTAAGAGAAACAACTCACAACTGCTGCGACGATGGGATTAGGAGGTGGGGCTGCCCCACCAGCAGGGGGTGGTCCGCCAGCAGGGGCTGGGGTTGGTGCGGCTCCCCCGGCTGGGGGAGGGGGAGTTGTTGGTTCTTCCCCGCTTGCGCTCTCTCCTCCATCTTGCGAGTCTGCCTCGTCCTCTGCAAAAGAAGTAAGTAGTAGAATTATATCAGGATATGATTTCTTCACTTTTCTGCCCTTTCTTATTGCCGTTTCATATAATCTCCGCATCGTTCCTCTTCTCTGTCCTTCATTTCGTTCCCTTCTCATTTCTATCTCCTCTCCTCTTCTCTTCTCTTTTCACCTAACTATCAGTAGCGGGGAGCAGGGATGGCGCAGTGGTGAGAGCGCTCGCCTCCTGCCAATGTGGCCCGGGTTCGATTCTGGCCCAGTGCCACTTGATGTGGGTAGAGTTTGTTGTTGGTTCTCGCCTTGCTCCGAGGGCTTTTCTCCGGGTTCTCTGGTTTTCCTCCCCCCACAAAAACCAACATCTCCAAATTCAAATTCGACCAGGATAGAGGACCCGCATGGAAACCAGCCAAGGCTGAAGTGGCTTCCTCTCTAAATATCGTTATTTTATTACCTTCAGGAAGCATTACGTCACTTTCCTCTTCTCCTTCATCCCGCTTTTCACGTTCATCCTACATGGAGAGATTTAACGTAGGCCTATCAGGTTNCAACTTGAATTTAAAAGAATTTAGTTACACCATGTTTTTCAAGAATACGTAGTATTTTTTGTGATGATAACAGAACTTCTGTTTTTTTCCTTCCGGCTTACTTTAATTTTAGAGATAGCGTACCCGTGGTTATTCCGCCAATTGATGGTCCCGTGAAATATTTTTCCGACTCCACTTCACATACCTCACGCTTGTCTTATCGTGTCTTTTCAAAAGTATGTATAAATTCAATTTATAATCAAAAACAATGCGCTAAACACTGTTATCTTGGGAGAGGTCACAAGGTTTCAAAACTTTTTGTATACATTTTGATAACGACTTGTTTTATAAACACGAGGTTACTGGAATAGCAATTCCCGGTCAGACTTGTGGAAAAAAAAAATCAAATGCTTCACTACATTAACAGCTGCGTTTAAATTTTACATCAATGATATCTTACCTCCTCGAATGAAGGCCGTCCCTGACCTACAATGAGCAAAGCGGCCAAGATAAGGAAGATCAAAACTTGCTTGCAGTCCATGACTTTGTTTGTTACGCTAGTTGCACGTCTGAGGTCAGTCGGTCGCAAATTTCAACTAGACGTACAGAGCGCATAAAATAATTATGTCCTTTTGCTGGTAGTTGGTCGAGTTGGAGCGCAGAGTGGCTCGATTTTCTTGTTTGCAGGTGTGCTTAAACAAATCAAACCGCCGGGTGGTTTTCAGTTTTCTTCGCTTTTTGCTTCCTAAGTTGCAATGGCTTTTGTTCCGCGGTGGGAGGAAATTGAGACGCCAAACTAATTAATATTCTATTTTTTAATGAAAGGAAATAAAGGGTAAATATTTCAAGTTTTATGTAAACTAACGGGAGACACTTGAAATAAAAATGATACAACTGACGAGAATTTATAGCTTGAAATTAGTCAAAACTATCACAACACATGCAAAATTGTTCGGACGTTAAACTTTTGCACGTTTTATTTTGAATGTTTAGTTTTCGGACACTTTGACAAATTTTGGACAATAATTTAACTTAATTTCGGACATCTTGCTCAGTGAAACGTAGCTAAAGCGTAAATTTACGCCTACAAAACACGTTTTAGACTGAGACAAGCTCCGTGAAAATGATAGGTTTACTGCACCCTCAATGTTTTGCGGATACACCGACGGAAAAATAAGACAAATTCTATCCAGCCGTTATGTGTCTCAAGCAGTGTCTTGACTTGAGTTCGCTCCGAAAAGCAAACTAGCGGCCTTGGAGTTATTTAAATGTTTTATACCGGTATTGTAAATATTTTTGACGCTGAAACTCTCGGACGGTTTTATTTTCCGCCACATTTTTGTCTGAAATTAAAATCTTCTGAATTTTTTAGCAAATAATGCGCTGCTTATATTTATTAGTCGAATTATGTTTCACTACGAGTTTACAAGTTCTAATTTTATGAATCTACCTGAAATTTACGGTAGTAAAAAGCGATCCGAAAGTTTCTTCATTAGCGCATAAAAAAACAAACAGAAAAACAGTTATGAGCGTTATCTATAACGTTTTTTGAAATCCTTCTGCTTTCAGTACTGTCCTTAAACGCCTCAGCTGAAGTCTTTTCTCTTTTCACTCAGGCTTAGTTTACTCCAGAGACAAAATAGGTACAGAAATGTCCGTCATGCTGAACCCATTCAAATCGAGGCAGGATTAAGTCAGCGCTCCGGTCAACCTCGGTTCCACGAACTTTCCAAGATGGCGGAAATCCTCGAAAAGCCATTGGAACGAGGCGGCGCTCCTGAGAACTCTAGGGTTAAAAGAAAAGAAAATGGAACAAGCCAAGAAACGCGTCCTCTCATTTAATCTTGAACAAGCCAATTATTTTCTCTCCCCCATCCCCCCGAAGAAAAAGATTCAACCGCCTCTGTACCAGTACCAGGGGAACAAAACGTGCGGAGCAAAACCCACTTTCTCGAACCCTCAGTTTTTCGAACCTCCCGTAACTCGAACCAAAAGTCGTTCCCCCTACTACGTCAAACGCTGTAATTTTACTCGAACCATCCAATTTTTCGAAACAATTTTCGTTTCCCTTGGAGGTTCGATAAATCGGGACTCCACTCTATTTCCATGATTTGAAAATCTACCCACGAAGTTTGGACCACACAAACTCTCGGGCATGAGAAAATTCTTCCTCAACTTGTCCTTGTATTCATCATAATCTACAATTTTATAATCTATATTCGTAATAATCTCGGAAACCATTTTACTACTACTAACTAGCCTGATGAAAGCGTACTGCAGGCTCATACTGAAAATGCGCTGAGCAATATACTACTCAGAACTAACCCTCTTCAACGAAGCTGAAAATCCTTTCCGCCCTTTCTCTTCCAGAGGTTGCGGGTTCAAGTCCCGCTAGCTCTAACCACTTAGCTGGAGCCGTTTCTCGCAGACCTTAGTTCAACTCCTCGGTCATGCTTCTAAATAGCCAAGTGGTCTGCCTCTCGCCAGATGGGATTTTTAAGTTTGTTATGCTTAGTTGATGTATATGCTTCTTTCAGTCTATGTGGCGTGCCTGTGCTAGGTGTAGCTTAGCCTGCGAACACGCTACCAGCGAGCGCGAACGATGCGAGGGAGCCTGTAGACGTTCTATTGATGTCGCCGTCCCATGATACCAGAATCTGGTGCCATGATCTGATTGGTTAAATCCCTGATTGTTGACAGCTTTGAGATAAATATTTGACAGATCAGTTTCGCCCTCGTCGGCTAGGTTTGCTCGCCAATTGTTTTCCCATCCTCACCGGGAGAGGACAAAACATGGACCCCTGATCCATGGGCCGGGTCCATCAAAATATGGACCGTGTCCATGAACCCCGTTCATGGACCGGGTCCATGGACCTCCTATTTTTACTATCCCTAAATACTGTAGTAAAAAATAACAAAACAAAAATGAAATCAAATAAGTAAATGAAAAAAAAAAAAAAAAAAAATGAACTCACAGTAATATTTCAATTTATTATTTAATTGTTAATTTTCAATTTTGCAATCTTTCATAAAGTCACATTTTAATAGACCTCCCGAACACCGAGCGGGTGCTCTATCCACTGAGCTACGAAAACTCATGGAACAAGGTCATTTAACTGAATTCATATGTGACTGGCGCCCTGCATACTGCTAGGATCAGCACTGTTGAAGTCACCGTCAGTGTGATAAGTGAATAAAGATGGTGAATTTTTAAGCTCGGTGTTCGGGAGGCCATGGGTTCGATTCCTGTCGAGGACTCAGATTTTTTCTTTGTCCCACGCTCGTGTCATATTGATCAGTTCACGTTTCACATGTTTATTTTTTGGAAAAAGCATTTGAAAGAAACGCAATTGTCTGTCGTTTGGTCTTCCCCTTTCGGTTCACCAACGAAACAATCTGAAAACTATTGTTTCACGATCCCTACGGGTCAGAGGGACGGTATGAAGGTAGTAAGATGCTTGTGAACATGTCGCATCAAGGTGTATCGGATAAATCTTGCTAGCTCGCTTGACGAAGAATACTAAATATCCTCTTTTGAGAGTTTCGAAACACCCCCTCAGCCGGCAGCGACCATTCCTAGCTTTGACTAGCTTCAGGTCTTGAGTTTTGCCTTCTGATTCTCTGTCGATATTTTCTTTTTTTTCTACTTTTAGGTAGTACCCTCCTTCTACAGCCAGTTCAAGCTCACGTTTGAAGAATCAACTTGATGGATTTAAGCTTGCGGACTCCTTGCGCTGCTTGACTACTGTCAGGATTTCAGAACATTGGTATGTACGCAGCTCGGACCTATCTTCTTCCCCAGTCTTTAGCATGTGCGTGGATTGCGTGGATGCACAGCGCTTGGGCCACTTGACGGAAACAGGACATTATGGTGAGTGTTTGCCGGTGTTTTGTGAGTGTTTTACGGTAATTTCACAGTCGTTGTGACTTAAATAAACATCCTAAAATCTGTGATTTTGATTGAAAATGTACATGTACTATGTAGCGCTAAGTAATAAATTAAAATTAGCACAAGGCCTATTGGGTTTTAATACAGTAGGTCTTCTCCCATCTCTTAGGCTTACATTTTTTACGATAATTTATTAGAGAAGGGATGTTTTCAAGCTTACTATAGGCGGTGTTTATTGAGTACCATGGCACAATCAGTACAAAGCTTATTATTTTAAATGGTAACGTCTGGTTCAATGATTATTGAAGCTATACCACCCCCTTCCACTCCCCCTCCCCCTCTGGGGATTTTCTTGCTTGATGTTCTATGCACACGGAAAGAGAGAATTTCCCACCTTGAGAATTTTTAGAACAACTTGAAAATATTTATCCTGGTATTGAAATAACACCTGAACTTTTAGAAAACAAAAATGGTTTGGAACAGAGCAAATAAACTCCCAGCAAAAATACACTTCCTCAAAAGTTGATCATGCAGGTGAACAGTGGTGTCTTTTTTATCTTTCAATAAAAATGTAAAAAATATTTGCTTGCCTACAGGAAGATCAAAATGTTTAACTCTCAGTATATTTTGCAAACATTATAATGCAAAAATGTTTGAAACAAACAAATGAATTCCATTGAAACAAACATAATTTCCTTTTGAAGGTAAGCTTAAACATGCTCCCTTAAATACTGTTAGAGATTTGGTCAGCACAAAATGCAGACTGCAGACTGCAGACTAGGTATAAAATGTAGACTAGGTAAAAAGCGTAGACTGAGAAGAAAGACTGTTTTTTCATCAAATAATGATAACCTGTCATTGTATAACTT